GGGGTTTTCATAGATTGTCTAATTGTACTTCCTGTGGGCAGCTTCAAAACGATGCCTAGACCGGACCCCTTCACATTTGAAGCACCAGATGTGAAAAGGGTCCACACCCCCAAAGACGTACCCACTTTTATAAAAAATTCCTTTTCGACCTCAGGTACGAGGGCTGGCGTGAAGTCGGCCACGATGTTTGCTAAGATTTCGGACTTGATGGCCGTTCGGCGTTGATACTCAATATCATACCCACTAATTTCGACGGCCCATTTGGCCAATCGGCCTGAGAGTTTAGGCTTGTGCAAAATATTACGAAGGGGGTAAGTGGTTACAACACAATTTGGGTGACATTCAAAATACGGTTTTAATTTCCTAGAGCCGCTTATTAAGGCAAGCGCTAATTTTTCTAAGTGAGGGTATCGGGTCTCTGCTTCTCCTAAAGTTTGGCAAACATAGTAAATGGGAAATTGCGTACCTTGCTCTTCTCGAACTAGGACACCACTTACCACAACTTCCGAGACTGCCAAATATAAATAGAGCTGCTCGTCCGCTTTTGGAGTATGAAGCAATGGGGGATCAAAAGATACCATTTTAGTTCTTCCAATGCATGTTGACATTCTGGGGTTCAAGTGAAATTGTTCTTCTTTTTGAGGAGTGAGAAGAATATGTGACTTCAATCCGAAGACCTCGAGATGAACCGGCCTAGAGCGGCTATTCGCCATGTTAATCTTTGTACGACCTTAAGACTGTCCACGACTGTGATGTCCTCGATTGCCTTGATTTTATCGCGATAGATCTCGATTCCCCAATTTGACACCATAAAGCCTAGGAACTTGCCTTAACCGACCCCAAATGCACATTTTCCAGGGTTGAGCTTCATGTTGTACTGTCTCAGTATGTCGAAGATTTCCTACAAATGTGTCAAATGGTCCTCTGCGCGGAGGGACTTAAATAGAATGTCATCAATATAAACCTCCATTGATTTACCTATTTGGTCTTCGAACATTCGGTTTACTAGGCGTTGATAAGTAGCACCAGCATTTTTTAGTCCAAACGGTATTACATTATAGCAATAAGTACCGTACTTAGTGATAAATGAAGTCTTATCCTGATTCTCCGGGTTCATTTGTATTTGGTTTTACCCGGAGTAGGCATCGCGAAAGCTGAGGACTCGTGGCTGGCCGTGGCATCGATCATGCGATCGATATTCGGCAGGGGAAAAGAGTCCTTAGGGCATGCTTTATTTAAGTCTTTGTAGTCTACACACATTCTAAGTTTATTCTCCTTCTTGGGGACCACAACTACACTTGCAACCACTCGGGATATTTTACTTCCTGGATGGATCCTATTTTGAGAAGTTTGGTTACCTCGTCCTTGATGAATGCATGCTTTACCTCGGACTGTGGCCTTCTCTTGTGCTTTACCTGTCTGAACTTCGGGTCCAAACTCAATCGATGAGTGGTGACCTTCGGTAGGATCCCTATCATGTCAAGGTAGGACCAAGCAAAACAATCCATATTTTTAATAAGGAATTTAATGAGTTTTTCCCTGAGCTCGGGAGTTAACCCCGTGCCCAGGTATGCCTTTCGATATGGTAGATGCTCGATCAATATGACTTGTTCCAGCACTTCAACCGTTGACTTCATAGCGTCGGAATCATCGGGGATTACGAAGGTTCGAGGTATCATGTAATCATCATCCTCGAGAATCTCCTACTGTTTCGATCTGGTCGAAGCCGGCGACTGTGGTTTCTATTTCACTGTCTGCTTCTCCTTCGATTCTGGTCCCTTGATTGATGTTAGTGCTGATACTGGTATTACTTCATCAAATGAAAACATCTCTTTGGTTGTTGGTTGTGCGTTGTACACCATTTTGACTCATTCCGCTGTTGGGAATTTCAAGACTTAATGAAGCGTTGAAGGTATTGCCCTCATATTATAGATCCAAGGTCTTTCGAGTAGCGCATTGTACCTCATATCACCTTCGATCACGTGGAACTTCATTTCCTGGATAGTCGTTCACTGGCAACATTATTTCCCCTTTGGTGATTTCACTGGCCATGTTGAAATTGTTGAGCACTCGAGCTGCAGGCACAATTTGATCTTGGAGGCCGAGCTACTCCACGACCCTCGATCGAATAATATTCGCCGAGCTACCTTGATCAACCAACACACGTTTTACTTGAATTTTATTCATAAGGATAGATATTACTAGTGCGTCGTTGTGAGGTTGTCCGACCCTTCTGCATCCTCATCGTTTAAAGATAAGGTATCTTCTTGTAAGTAGTCCCGGGTACGCTTCTTCCTTGTGATTATAACTTTGGTGCGTTTAAATGCTGGACCCTGAGGAATATCGACCCCACCGACGATCATATGAATCACGTGATGTGGTTCCTCCTGTTCGTTTTTTCAGTTTGCATCCCTGACTCTGAAGTGATTTTTTGCTCGGTCACTCAAGAACTCTCGAAGATGACCTTCGTTGAATAGACGAGCTACCCCTTCCCTTAATTGTCTGCGGTCATCGGTTCTGTGACCATGGGTTCCACCATTCTTGCACATTTGATTTGGATTCCTTTGATCTGGATCGATCTGTAGGGGTCTGGGCTACTAGTATCCTTGATTCGTCCAATAGCCGACACAATACCTGAAGCATTGACGCTAAAGTTGTATTCCGATAACCGTGGTGCTTCCTTTGGCTCGACATGTTTATCGAAGCTACTCTTACTCATGAGCCCTTGAGAATTTTCACCTTGATCATTCCTTCGATCATTTCGAACGGGATTATGTCCCAGTCCGTTATTTCTACGATCTGCGCTATATGGTTCGTACCGGTCTCTGTTCGATCGGGGCTCTCTATCTATGTCTCTTTGAATCCTGCCTTTGGATATATTTGGGTAAACGGAACCGGACGGGGATCCCAACTGATCATCCTCAACTCTGATCTTCGATTGGTATCGATTATGCGCATCGGCCCAGGTCACCACTAGATATTCAATCAAATTCTGATATAGTTAACGTGACGCTACCGAACTTTGCTTGTTCAAACCCTTAGTAAAGGCTTGGACAGCCCAATCATCGTAACCGGGGGTAGGTCCATGTGCTCCATCTGAAATCGAGATACGAATTCCCTTAGCATTTCATTATCCTTTTGTCTCACTTTGAAGAGGTCCGACTTCCTAGTCGCGACCTTTATCGCTCTGACGTGTGCCTTTACAACGAATATGCAAGCATCGCGAAAGAATTGATGGAATTCGGCAGCAAATTGTGGTACCATATCATTGCCCCCTTCGATAAAGTTTCTCCAAAAATTTTCAACAAAACAGATTCAATTTCGTCGTCTTCCAAGTCATTTTCTTTTATTACGCATGTATAAGAAGTGACATGCTCGTTAGGATTAGTGGTTCCATTATACTTGGGAATTTCTTGTATGCGGAATTTCTTCGGAATGCGCTTCGGAGCCGCACTTGGTGGGAAAGGCTTCTGTAAGAACTTTTTTGAATCGAAACCCTTCAGAATGGGGGGTGCCCCCGGTATTTGATCAGCCCCGGAGTTGTACGTTTCTACCTTTTTATCATTAGCCTCGATCTACTTTTCTCCCGATTCAATCTGTTTAGTGAGCTCCTCGAGCATCTTCATGATGGCGGGACCAGTCCCCCATCCATTATCGTTCAATTTCTCCTGTATGGGTTTGACCCTATGAACAACATCTTGTAATGTATCAAGTTCGATTTTTCTTGGGGCTCGATTCTGATTTAGGAGTTACGCCATCGCAGCCTGCTAAGTTTGTAACATGTCAAATATCATTCGAAGGCTCGTTTCGCCTTCTTCACCATTTTGTGCATTTTGATCAGCTGCCCGGGAGTCTCTGCGGATCCTATTTTCAGGGTCGGCGCCTAAATCTCCACGAATGGCGACACAAGAACCGACATCAACTGGGTCTAGGGCCTGTGGTGCATCGGGATTGATTGGAGGCACTCTGTTCCCAGGGTGGCTACGTGTTCGTATTCGCCATGAAGGCCAAGGCCAGTATTAGTGTGAATGGGTACTACCAGAGAATTTGACATGTTGATTCCTGAAATCGAAAAATACTCACAAGAACAGGCGTAAAAGCAGTATCTGTTATGAAGGTTAAGATATTAAGCAATCACTATTATGCTTAGCCCCACGGTGGGCGCCAAGCTATTTACCCTAAAATTCGAATAACAATTAAACTTGTCATGTGGTTCTAAGGATATGTGATTTCACCTAATATCAACTGATTGACTTAAAGATAAATGATGGGAATTGACGAGATGTAAAACAAACCAATGCTCGGACAGTACCCTCGAGCTGATGAACCCTCGAGCTTACTAAAGTAAGAACAATTAAAGAACAACTAGTTAGTAAACCAAAGAAAGAGAGAAATATTATATTGCCTTGTCTGTCTGAATGTAGTCCTGTACAAATAATAGGGATTCCCCTTTATATACTAGAGGAATTCTAATTATAGTACAATTTTAATTACGGAAGTAAATCTCATGATTGTTACAAATAACCGCCCTTGATTTGATATATTCCGGGATTCCCGCCGTGATCTTCGATCGGTTACGGATATCTTGCCTTTTCGTTATTGCACTTCACTCGAAGTCGGTCATACGTAGCCTCGATTCCTGGTGGTCTCGGTCTCTACGGACATCTCGATCCTTGAACTCGACACCTCGTCTTCGTGTCACAGCCCGATCCATCGCGAGGCTTACTCTCGACGTGATCTCCTGGTCTCGATTAAATAGCAACATCGGGCAAGCCCGATTTTGACCGTATACAGTCTCACTTTTTTTTTTTTACTTTTGTTATTTTCCAATTCGTTTATTACTGATTGTTATTCTAATTAGGTTTCTGAGCAAGAATTTGATGACTTAAAAAGCATACTAGTTGAACATGGATTAGTGCACACCAAATAATCAGTTTTATTTTAACTTTTAGCTCATAATCAATATATGATAAGCAAAACGGATTAATCTCGCCTTCAAACATCCTAGTAGACCAATATTTTGAAACCAAAAAATAATAATTAAAATTTTTATGAATATATGAAAACTCATACTATATTTTCCTTCCATATCAATTCATTTTTTGGGACTTCAGTAGAATCGAAGTTCATTATATGCAAGAATCGTTTTAGAACCTGCGATAGTACATGAACTCAATTAAGACTCTTAAGTAATTCTATGTTCTATAATGGAATAATAGAATTGCAAACGGAAAAGGGTCAAAACTGCCCCTAGATTATTGGAGTTGGTACAATAATACCCTACGTCCACCTACTTTGAAAAAATTGCCCTCACCGTTATCTTACGACTAACGGTCATGTTAGATAAAAAAAAAATTAATTAATGAAACTGGACAAATTTATTTGATTCAAGCATTTAAATAGCTTAAAAATGCTCAATGTATAAGTGATATATCCAATTCACGATATACTGATGTAAAACCCATTTGGGAGCTTCTGAAGACCCATTGGGGAGCTCATGGAAACAAGCTGTAAATCCTTTTTACCTAATAGGAAACCTTATGCTTGGATAAAAAGTTTACCTGCTACCTGCCCTGCCTTTTTTTGAATTATTCAAAAACAAAGTTTTGTCCTGCCCTGTCCTCCCTCATTTACAGCTTGTTTGGACGGTTGTTACCCATCTGTGATGACCCAAAAGGTCATCTTATGTTTTACAACATGATTTTGCATTCGTAAGCCTTAAAAATCTTATTTTTATCCTCCTCGATTTGTGTGCGCAGTCCGGGCGTATTTTCGAAAAGCATTTATGCTGAAAGTTGATAAAAATAATATTTTTTTCCTTAAAGGTTGATTTTAGTTGACTTTGGTAAACATGAGTAAACGAACCTAGACCCGTGTTTTGACAGTCTCGATGGATCCGTAATGAAATATGGGACCTGGTCGTATACCCAAAATCGAATTCCGAGGTCCCTAGCTCGAGATATGGATTTTTGTTAAAAATTGAAAGACTGAAAATCTAAGGGTTTTAAGAATTTAGTTAATGTTTGATCTTGTTGGTATCGGGTCCCTATTTTAGTTCCGAAGCCCATTACAGGTTCATTATGATATTTAAGACTTGTCTGTGAAAGTCGGTGAGAAATGGAGTTGGGCTGATATGATTCAGACATCTGGTTGTAAAAATAGAGGTTTTAAAGCTTTCTCGAAAATTTCATTCAATTTGATGCTAAATTCGTAGTTCTAGGTGTTATTTTGGCGATTTGTTCACGCAAGAAACTTCGTATGATGTTTTAGGACTTGTGTGCATGTTTGGTTTGGAGCCCGAGGGCTCGGTGAGTTTCAGATAGGCTACGGGGTGTTTTGAACTTAGAAAATATGGTTTTAGTGCTTCAGCTGTCATATGGTGTCTTCTTCTTCGCGTTCGCGAAGGGAACTCTCGCGAATGCGAAGAGTGAACTCGAGCTGTGTGGGAAATTGTAAGGCCCCGAAAAATTTCGCTAAGTAAATTAGGATTTCGTGGTGCCATGTAGGCTAATTATATTTATGTGCTATTAACATGATGGGCATCAATTGGATTTGGTAAACAAGTGTATGTGTCATATATTAAGTAACGTGGGGTCCAAGGAGAGGCCTAAGTGTAAACCAAATAGGAAAAATTTCATAATAGGCTAAGATTCCAAATGTACTTGCACTAGTCCACACATTTAACGAGAATATCTAAATATGTATAAGGTTTTATGTGATGAATAACCTATCAAATGAAAGGTCTTTGAGTCTAGTTTCTAACGCTTCAAACCGTTCGTCATTTGGACATTCCTACACAAAGTTATGATCAAATTACCAAAGGCTGGAAAAATGCAATCCTGTGTCAGATATGCGATCGCAAAAACCATTATGCGGTCTGCATAACCGATCTGCGATCGCAAATTGGACCAGTGTAGCCCAGTTCTGGGCACCGAGTTCTGCGACGCGTTTGTGGCCAGCATACCCATTCTGGCGGTCCATTATGCGACCGCAGACCCGAATTCGGAGGGTTAATCTTCCTATTTTCATGACCCGACCCCCTGTCGATATATCTTATACAATAGCTCATTTTGAGCCTATTTCTTGGTACTTTTAGAGTGAGAAAGAGGGTCTAAGAGAGGGGAAGTGCTTAACATCAAAATTGCTCCACAAATCTTTATTAAACATTGAAGATAATCAAGTGAGGCACCTAAACCTTCATCCCAAGAGGTAGGACTTCATCCCCTCAGCTCTTAAATTTTCAACAAAGCCATAAGGGGTCATTAGTGAGGTAGTTTATGGGTATAAGAATAGGCTTCTTGCATGCACAATAGATAATGGAATATTGGGAGGTTGTGAAGTAAAAAGAAAGCAGCAATTGGGGTATAAAATGATAGAAACCTCTCACAAAAAGGACCTAAGATCACAATGCACCCCTAGTGCTTGATAATATGCTCAAACGAGCTAGAATCCTAATAATGTCCCTAATTCTTGGTTCAATTTGTAATTCTTATATAATAGATCGAAGTGCTAAGAGTTCCAAAATTTTTTAAGGATTAAGGAAAGCTTTATTGAGGTATGTATGGCTAAAACCCCGTCTTTTAGAAATTGAGCTTTATCGGAGGTTGTGTGAATACGGTAAGATAAAAATTGAATTGTTGTATTGATTGTTCTTTGACTTGAATAGGTGTTGCAACCTCATATGCGTGGAAAGTATGTCTCAATATGATCAATATGCTATACTTGATAACTTGAAAAGGTGCAAGGACTATGGATCATGAATTGAAATGCTTAGACCCTAAATTGAAATCAAAGCCGCATATGTTGTGCCATCTATGTGAAGTCTCCTCTATGCCTACAATTTTAATTGCTCTTGTGTGCACTTATTATCTTGAATTACAAATCTAACATTGAAATCAGGAATGATGTGAGATGTGGCCTAGTGCCAAATATATGATGTGATAGTTGTGACCCCATGTGCCTATGGAACGATATATGTGAAACAAAGGTTGAATTGAAATGATTGATGGAAAAAGGAAACGCCTTGGTAAGGCGGCCTAGCTGATCGGGCCAAGATCGGATGCCATGCCGCTCACATGGTGGTAGTATGTTGATATTGAACCCCGGATAAAAAGGGAAGAGAGATTGTGATTGAAGTGTATGTCTCAAATGAGGCAGCCTAGCCGATCGGGCCGAGATCGAACTCCGCTCAAGCTAGCGGTGGTATAGCAAACAAGGATGAACAATATGAAATGCCCCACACTAAAGGCTATGGAAACACGATGTAAAAATTGTATGATTCTATTATTGATAATGTTGTGATCGTTTAAAGTGTCGAGTTATACTTGTGATTTCTTATATTTGATTGAAAGTTCTTTCTAACTAGATGGTGTTTAGTTATACATATTAGTGCTATTCGATGGCACTAACATCCCTTTTGCCGGGGGCGCTACGTCTTCAAATGGATGTAGGTATTTCTATAGCAGGCAGTGTTGGTCGCAGCTAGTGCCGCATCATCCTTTCAGCTGACTTGGTGAGCCACACTTCATTTCGGGGTCCTTTTTCATATGTTAATCATGTACTTTGTATTTGAGGTATAGCCGGAGTCTTGTTGCCGGCATTTCCATATTATTTTTCAGTTGTATTTAGAGGCTCCGTAGACAGGTTGTGGGTAGTGTCGGGTATTGGAATTAAAATAGAAATATTGATGTTTGGCAATGATGTATAAAACTTGTAATGTCTTCAAAATTGTGAATGAAGTTGCTAATGAAAATGAAATGGGAAATCGTTAATGACATGTTTATAGAATTTGATTAATGGAGTCCATCTCCTATTTATTCATGAATTAGTTTGGGTAGAATGATAACAGGCTTGCTCAGTCGGGTTCACTCGGTTGAGCGCCGGTCTCGCTCCTCGGATTTTGGGGCGTGACAAACTTGGTATCAGAGCCTAAGGTTTTAAAGTGTCCTAGGATGTCCCGGAGCCGTGTCTAGTAGAGTCCTTCTTATCGGTGTGTAGTCGACCACATCTATAAGTTGGAGGCTATTCGGACATTTAGGAATTTCACCTTTCTTTGATACTCTAGATCGTGCAGTAGAGCTCAAGATAGGGAGCTAATTTCCATTCTATGTCTTAATCTCAAGATGAGTAATTCATGATTTTGGAAGCAGAAATGAGGGAATGCCCCCACCATTGAATATGCGGGAGATTGCCCAAGCGTTTGTTAGGAGAATGTATCGAGCCATGGAGGGATTGGTAGAACTTGTTTCTAAGGGGAGTACCCTTGTTCCTATTAATGTCTATGCACTACCAGATCATGTAGTATATCAGCATGTTACCTACGTACGTTTGGGATGTGGAGTCGAGGGGTATCGATTAAGCTATTCCCCTACCAACCTAAAGTCATTAAGTGAGTCAGATCAAAATTTCTACTCGTTGTATATGTACATCCATATTGAAGAATTCTCATAAACATGGTCTTAACAAGGTGTTAAATAACAAAACATTACATGTATCAACTCTTTGAATGAGACGCATTATTCGTGAATCCACTCTATTACAAATCCTCTTATTTACATTCTTGTGGAATTAAGTTCTATAATTGTGTCCTTGAATGGGGTTATGACAATGACTCTAGGATTAATACTTCGACCTGCATTTCCTAAATTCTTACCAAGGGACTATACCTGATGAATTTCTTACAGAATATTTTATTGAAATGGACAACATCTGCCCACTTGTGCCTATGCATGCACCGTCGTAAAGTTTACCTATGTGGTGTCGAGTTCCATGTAAAGCATTCCAGTGTTGCGATCCTTCTAGAGTCAGTCTTTTACTCAGTTGTGTATATGGCTTATATGGTTTGAACAATTCAATCTACTATCCTGCGAATATCATCATGAAAGCTTCTCAGTATCTAGTAACATAAGAGCATACCTTAACACCTATCACATGAGTGCATGTCAATCGAAATGCTCACCTGTGCATAAAGTCTCTCTGAAAATTGAGATCCTCACATCCCCGTCATAGGAAGATCTTGTGTCGCCATAACTTTCGTGTCCACTTGTGACATCCCGCAGTAAGTAGCTCACCTTGTCCTAGTATTGTGGTTGCTCGTGGCGTGGTTGTATATTGCAGTTGGGAGTTAATATAGCAGAAACATGTCCAGCTTATAA